GACAACATCTTTCTGCTTGCGCTGAGTATGGAAATTATATAATACACACTCTAGAACATTTTCATCTTAACATATTACGGAGTGTACAATTACACAACAAACATAACACTTGCAGAACTAGTATTGTTCGATGCTGAATTAATATAAACGAGTATGTTTATGACATTCAGTATATATTTCATAATTTCCAGTCTTAAATCCGTCTGACCGTGTAGCTCAGTAGGTAGAGCGTCGATCTAGTAATTCGAAGGTCGCGGGTTCAAGACCCAGCCGCGGCAGGCAACATCATTCTGCTTGCGCTGGGTATGGAAATTATATAATACACACTCTAGAACATTTTCATCTTAACATATTACAGAGTGTACAATTACACAATTAATATATATATATATATATATATATATATATATATATATATATATATATATATATATATATATATATATATATATATATATATATATATATATATATATATATATATACCGTTTCGGCCTTATGGGCCTCATTATATATATATAAATTCAACTGCAAATCGATCCCAAAAAAGAGCTATAACGCCGGACTCCAAATGGTCCCAAAAGAAAGCTATAACGACTCCAAATGAGTCGTTCTGGGGTCAACTAAACCAACAACTCATTTGAATTTACAGCGTGTGTAGTTCACATAGTGGCTCACATGGATGCGTCGACTATTTGCCGACTATTCGCATGCACTATTCACCGACTATTCGTACTATTTGCCAACTGTTCGCAGTATTCTCCTTTTATCAATTGTCCGTTCACGGAAAGACGTACTAAATATCGTTGTAATAAGTGGCTACCTGGACCTTGAAACGATGGAAGGGCAACGAGGAAAATTCCTGTCAAAAGGTATTGGATGTCGCAATAACTTGATATTTGATATATTTACTTTGGAAGATGAAAGGGCAGTAGGAGAAAATCAGGGCATATGATGAACATTGCGGATATATAATGTCTTGATCCTATTGAATAAAAAATAGTAGAAGGTAGTAGACTATGCACTATAGTACCTGCTTGTGTTGAGCAAACTCCTGGAGTGAAGCTGATAACATCGATAGCAATATCACCTTGCCATCTACGACCGCGAATACCTTCTATCTTAACCTTTAATATTTATACAAAAAAATGAATAATTATTTTTCAAATATTAATAGTTTCATTTAGCTCTTGAAAACGGAATAAAAACGAAATTTTTGTACAATAACAGCGTTGGATTATCCTTTCGGATTGGGCGCAAAAATATGTTGGATTCAGACCTAAAAAAAGACCGACCAAAGTTCGTACCGAAGTTTCCTTACCGTCTTCCCACTCGTTTTGAAAAAAGAATGATCTTGCCTCGAATATTTTGATATTTTCTGTCCAACTGAAATATTGCATGCTTTCCTTACTCACCATATATCTTCCACTTTGTATGATTTGAGTTCTCACACCCACCCATCGGTTTCCTTGATTTCCCGATTTTGAAAATATCGTTTGGTTATTCGCATAGATGTTCAGGACTCCAATATCACTACCGTGCATATGGTAAGAAAATGTCATGCATTGCGGGCCGTTCAAGTAAGGTATTAAAATTGTAGCATTATCACCGAACTGTCGTGGACTTGAAGTTTCAATGAACAGATAATAACCTGTAAAGAGTTGAAAAACTACTTTCAATGATAAAAAATCTTACTGTGACTTTGCAAAAGGATTTGCGCTGAGGATTTTTTAAATTAACTACAAGGACAAGCAAGAAGAGCGCTTGAGCCAATGCAGCTGTCATTATTTCGCATGTTAGATCTGAATATAGCCTAATGTATTCAAGTAGAGCATTAATTTTAATCCAATTATATGTCGGCGATTCAAGCATTCGTGCATTTCAAAGTTAACGAAGTTGAACTTGAATCTCTTTAAATCACGTTGCACTATACGTATAGTCATGTTGCCTGCCCATTTTTCAAGGTAACCATTTTGTATGGTGAGTCTCATGAGCGTCGACGATCCAGTATTCATGGTTTTTTTCGCGGTTTCCACTTTCAGTGCATTAGGCCAACTACGCTAATCTGCATATATGGACCAAACTATATGAGAATTCTTTCTCGGAAAGTCTCTGTATAGGCTTCAATACACAGTAGAGGTTTTGACCAAGAAATTGAAAAACAACCAATTTGCACAATCATGAGGAGACTTTACTTTAATTCAACGTTTTTTTTAAGTTTTCTTAGCTATTTAGGTAATTTAGGGTATTGTGTACCTAATGACCCTAATCATATCCTTCATTATTTCTAAACCCTAAAAGATTATTTAACAGTTCATACCTCTGCCGCTGACGTCAGAACTTGGTCCTGTTCCACTACTGGGTGTTGAACCTCTCTTTACCGTCCATTTAAATTGCCCAGGACCATTTTGATAACTGCAGATATTTCCATTGTCAAAGCTACAATTGACTGAACGAAATCAAATTAAGAAAGTGAAATATATGTGATTATAACTCTACGTCAGTATCATATTATCATCTTAAAAAGTGTACGGTAATGTTAACATGCAAATTTTGTTCTCGTATATTTTACTTAAACAGTTAGATTTAGGGTTATCACCATGCACGGCGCATCATAAAAAATTCAGGTCGCTGTTAATGTTGTTGCTATGCCTTGCTGCTATAGGTACAGAAACATATATCTTGAGATTATTGATAAATTTTAAGGGAATATAATTACTTTACACAGAATGTGATTTTTTAGTATTAATAGCGAGTGCAATGAATTACCATTGCAAATAGTATAAAGTTTCTCAAAGTCAAAGATATATAGCACACTGCTTATGTTATTTAAACAAAATGGGGGTAATAACGATGGTTTTACAAGCAATAAATATATAGTTTTTATTGCTAGAAACAAATGCGTTAGAAACATAAATATTCTGATGGCAGCATTGTCAGGTAATCTTCGTATCTTCCTTATCTTTATCTTCCTTATATTCTTCCATATTTTTATCTTCCTCATCTTCTTCCTTATCCGTTTCAATGGAGCTCGGCTCCGATCCATTCAGAATGGCTCCGAGGCTATGGAGCTCGGCTCTAGCCTATGGAGCTAAGCTCCGAGATATTTTGGCTCGGCTCCGAATGCTCGATATTTCCAGCTAGGCTCCGAGCTATTTAGACTCTGCTCCCAACTATGCTCGGTATTTCGATCTGCGTTCCGAGCCATTTAGATCTAAGCTGCAAACTATTTAGACTAGCCTAGGCTTAAATTAAAAATGCCGAACTGCGCTATAATGTCCCTATCTATCCATTGGGATACACTTAGTTAAGTTAAGCAAATTTTTGTTCGCCTAATCCCTTACCTACATGGCACCTAATGACTTAGGAACACATAACAACGCAACATTTGCAAAGTTTATTGATACAAATAACAGTTAAAAGATATCAAGTTCGCCTGTTAAACCGTAAACAGATTTGAGAAATGTATATTCGCCTGAACATGCCAACGACCGCCAGTAATAGTATCCATTTATATCCATTAGGATCCATTTGGTTATGCAAATTATTATTACTTATATCCCCTTAATTATCTCAACCTTTGTGTTTTACGCGTGGGGTTTACCTGACAACGCTGCCATCAGAATATGTATGAGTTCTAACGCATTTGTTTCTGTTAAAAAAAAACTATATATTTAAAATTTTACTTTGAAAATATGCTTGTAAAACCATCGTTTTTACCCCATTTCGTTTAAAGTAACATAAGTCGTGTGGATATCTTTGAGCTCGAGAAACTTTATATTATTTGCAATGGTAAATCATTGCACTCGCTATCAATACTAAATCACATTCTGTACAAAGTACGTATTTATATTCCCTTAAAATTTATCAAAAATACGGACATATCTCAAGATGTTTCTGTACCTAGCAGCAACAACATTAACAGCGACCTGAACTTTTAATATAGACTTCTCCACACGCCACCTCATTCTATGCTAATGATAATGCGCCACCTTATCAGTTCTATGCTAATGATGATGCGCAATTTCATTCTATGTTAACGATAATGCGCCACCTCACGCCACCTCAAAAATCCGAGTCGATCAGCCCCTATATTACTACTGTTCTCTCCTGTTCTTCGATGTGGGGTTTTCCGGGTCAACCCGTTTTCCTCCCCCATCGAAAACTAATCCTTTGGGCTAATGTTGTCAGCACATGTAACGTTAGCCTCTGTCTGGGGTGAATTTAAACTCATATTCTGTGTAATTGCATCAAGTAAACATTACATTAAATTAATTATTACCTGACGAAGGGTGTGGTAAAGGTGGGAGTGGTTGCACATTTCCAATCTGTTGTTTTATCCAGATGGCAAATTCTGCAACACGTGCAAATACTGTGAATTCATTATGTCCAGCACTGCACGTTCTAGTTCCCCAAGAAACAGCCCCTTGTAAGATCCAACGATTTGATGATTTATCACGGCAGACAAACGGTCCTCCAGAGTCACCAAAGCAACCACTGACTGTGCTATTACCACCAAAACCGGCACAAATCTTGCAAAATATTAAGTAAACACTTTGAAATGTGTTTTTCAAATGCATGCATATACGTGTCAGGTGTGAAACTACTATTGAATATTTGTAAAGGTACTACTTACCTGACTATTTTATTAATTGGTCAAAACAATTGATAGGATGACAAATTAACAGTTTAAAACATTTAAAATTCGCTTGCCAATTTGTGAAATGTGCTTCAGGAAATCCTAAAGCCGGCCACCGATTATATGTTTTTCTTTGATGGCCCCACGTGTAACAAGAAACATTATTGCGGAAATATTTGGAAATTTTGATGTTTCCCAAATCGTCTTCCCGTTTGCATCTGCTTCCAGTGCAGGCCCCTACTGAAACATGGAAAGGTCGCGCGCTCGGTTTTAGCAGGGAATTTCTAGAAACTGTGACATTTAGGGGCTTCGGTGGCCAAGTGGTTAGCGCACTTGCCTTTCACCTCTGAGGCTGCAGGTCCGAGTCTCACTAAGTACCTTCTCAGTGCGACTCGAACCCATTCCCCATGTGAAAAGAGTAAAAGTCAACGCTCTGCCGAAAGCCGTGGGTTTTCCTCGGGTACTCCGGTTTTCTCCCACAGGGAAAGTTGACAGGGTGGGTTAGGTAAAAAAGGGCCCACAGTAATTGGCATATGCTGTTGTGGTGACCCTGCCCTAGTTGGCAAAGCTAAATAAATAAAATTCCCAGCAGTTCTATTATCCTTCCTCGGGAAAATTGTTGCAGACATAGAATTTCCTCTCTGGATTGATATACCTTGAAATTTGAGTTCCTATTTATTCATAAGAAATTTACTGGGAAATCTTTCTGAGAACTAAAATATTGCTAAGAGCTATGAAACATAGCTCGACACACTGGAAATTTATCTCATATTTACCATTTGTCGGGTTACTTGAGATCCCATATGTTCACGACATTTTGACTCGGAGATGACAGGAAGTCTTGCTTGTTGAAGGACCGTTGCACCTGGTTTGCTTGCCCCAGTACGCCCCCAACCTGTCAGACCAGAAAATTATGTCACGCACATTTCATTTTAATATGTGAGATGTTTCTTTTATCAAGTTTAGCTACAGACTAATAACTTTGGAATTCGTGTTTCACATGTCATAGATCTTTTCGCCTTGTGATATATATACAGTAGGTTTCTCTGTATAATATTTTTATACCATAAGAATCGAAACCTTTGCCAGAAAAGTAAACAGGTTTTCCCACAAACCAAACCCCATGAATAAGTTTATTTTCCCCATACAAACATGCAAATAACTTATTTATTTATTTATAAAAAAAATATTCCCTTACCTGTGATGTAGCATCCTTGTCCAGAAACCTCATCAACAATGACACCTTGTTGTGGAAGACAGACAGGCTGAATTTGTGGTGTGAACGGCACTCTTCGGGACAGTTTGACCAGAGCTAAAATAAAGAAGAAAAATAATAGGTTTGGAACGTATTACTGAATAACAGACCACAATTCTGCACAGTATATTGATGAAATATGTACTGTAGCGTTATCATATCTCTACTAGAAGGTTTTGTCTTTACCTCAATTGTTTTGGTGTGTCTCGTCTGTCAGTAGGTCAAGTAGGATAACTCAATAGTCAATTTACGAACGTTTTTGCAGCCCTTGGCCGTAGCCACGTTTGTCTTTATTTTCTGTACCGAAAATTAATTTGTACATCGACAATCGACTATAGTTTTCGATGGCGAAGGTATGCAGTCTTGTGTTTTCTCTAGTTAACCAATACATGCACTATTATTTTGACAGCGTTACCTTAACTCCATTAACCTTTGCAGCTCGAGAACTGAAATACCTATAATTTGTTGTTTTTGGACACAAAGGATGGGAAAACAGAACAATTTTGGTATTTAATCCCTCACCTTTCCAAAGCGTCTATCTCATTATTACTAATTTTCTCATGAATCAAAATTTTGATGATAAGGGCCGCAAATCCCAGTTTAGTTGATACCTTCGACAGTAGATACCTAAGAAAACTTTTTAAAAATCGTTTCTAAAATTCTTTAAATACTTTGAAGCTAATTTCTATAATTCGGACAATTTGGAATACTGGTATATTTTTACCAGTCAAATATGTCCACAGATTGACATGCTCTATGATATAGTTGTAAAAACCTGAAATATCAATTATAAACCTAACTGTCTAATACTACAAAATATAGTGGGGCATTTTTAGGACACTGTTCAAACCTTTAAATTATACTTAGCTTGTGCTCGTGGAACTTACCAATGTCATAATTAAAATTGTCATCCAGGTATCTAGGATGAACAATAATTTGTACAACACGACTGTCCATTTCATTGCCTTCATTTAAGTTGAAATTATGTTCACCTGAAAAATCATTAAAGTATATTTATGCCAAACAGAACCAACTTGAGTTGATGTTCTATGAATTGGACTGAAATGACGCGTTTTGAAGTGGGATCAGATTCGACGCTAATAGATTCAAAATGTGCATCTTAAATACTTCTTGCTAAATTTCTTTTTTCTCTATGCCTGTTTTATAAATATACTATGAATAAATAAAGGGATCCGGGTTATACTATCAGCCGTGCGTTAAGGCTACTCGATTGAAAACAAGGTTAATTCCCTAACAGGCAACAGGGCAACCAGTGCAACGTCTTAAGGATTGTTCGTTACAAGTTTGAGAGGACCAGTTACCCATGAACATGGTTTCATACATTATGTGATTCTTTGTCTCCAACATGTACACGTATTAGGGGGGGCGAAGATGTGTATTTCGTGCTTGATTATTACTTATTTTTCACATTACTCGGTCTATTTTGCGGTTCTTTAGAGAAAATATATTTAATATCCCCTGTCAGTTAAGTGTGGGAAAAGCTGGGGGCAGCTTTTGATTCAACAGGGTAGAACGGAGCTGAAACACCGGACCAAATTCAAAGGCAAAACAATAGATTAATAACCACCTGTAATATTCCCCTCTAATATTCCTCCTAATCATCATGCTTTGTCTTTTTTTTTAAACAAAAGTAATCAGTCTTTGGGACTCGTTTTATTAAATGTCTTTCCTAACGAATTTCTTTCTATTATGTCTCGTAAAATGCAACCTCGCCAATGTGAAAAATATGTACTTTATTTTGAAGCACCTCGGGGATATGTATAGGTTATTTTGAGGCAACGAGGGGATATGTGATTTATTCGCTGAGGCGCGCAGCGCCGAGGTGAATAAACACATATCCCCGAGGTGCCTCAAAATAACGTACTTATTTTTCACACTGCGAGGTCGCGTTAATGATTCAGAATAGAAATAATTCTTAATGCCATATTGCCTTCGTTATGTTGTTTTTTTCTCATTTTTTGTGCTGCAAAGACATTGCAGGTAAATATTAGAGGGGATTATTAATTGCAGGTGAATATTAGAGGGGATTATTAAACGGAAATTGATTAGAGGGGAATATTGAATATATTCCCCGATATGAACAAAGGAAACCGAGCCGGGTGAAAAATAAGATATGATATGAATAACAGAATAAATCACACATCCCCTCGTTGGCTCGTTGCTTCAAAATAACCTATACATATATCGACTCAATCGCAGTTATCAACTTCAATATTGACAGCAATATGTTCTGCACGTGCAGATATTTATTCCCTTCACACCAGGTACTGCCTTGAATCGAGTTATCGGCAATGCTTGCCGTACGGGGTCATTGATGACCATTACTATAATGCTGCGCAGTGGCGCTTACCTAATCTTACGTTAAGACTGGAAGCAGAACGTCCCAGCACACAATGGGCTGCAGTAACAACCCATTGATCACTAATCAAAGATCCACCACAGAAATGATTTGAGCTACCAACATTTCTCAATGAAACTTGCCATGGCCAGCTGTTAGGACGAGCTGTTTGACCACTTACTACTTTATCAAGGAAAAGCTTTGCCTTTCCACAACCTGTGAAGAATTAAAATTAGAGCATGCTTAGCGTAGTCTCATACATCATATATCTGCTTTGAATTTTCTCAGGTTCAACTCGGGAATAATCTTTTTAACCATATAACTGGGGGCATTTAGGATTTTCCTGTCTCATCGAAAACTAATCAGTTGTCAGACACATGTATCGTTAGCCTCTCTCTGTGGTGATTTGAAACCATGCACACCCGGTGTAATGGCATTAAGTGAAGATTCCTGTCGAAAGCCAAATTCTAGGCAAATTCCTGTCAAAAGGTACTGGACGTTGCAGTAAGTCGATATATAGACCTTGGAAGAAGAAAAAGCAGTGGAACACAACCCCGACATGCGATCATCATTGGTGTATAATAACTTAATTGGTCAAAATTATTAACTAAAACATGATAAACGGTGGTAGACCACTATACGGTACCTGCTTGTGTTGTAGGTGGTGGTGGTGTTGGTGTTTGGGATGAGCAACTTCCTGGAGTGAAGCTGATTGCATCGATTGCAATATCACCTTGGTAATCACGACCGCGAACACCTTCAAACTTAACCTTTAATATGAGAAGGAAATGTTTGTACTACAACACCGTTGGATTAACTTTTCGGGTCGGGCGCAAAAATATTTGGGATATACAGATCCAAGTGAAGAAAGAGCAAGATTCGTATCGAAGTTTCCTCAGGATCCTCTAGCTTCCCTCTTGTTTCGAAAAAACAACGGTGTTTGGTCCGTCCATTTGAAATATTGCTTTCTTTACTCACCATATAGCTTCCACGTTGTAAGATTGACGTTTTCACACCCACCCATTCATTTCCTTGATTTCCCGATTTTGAAAATATCCTCTGATTATTGGCATAGATGTTCAGAACTCCAATATCTTTACCGTTCATATGATAAGAAAATGTCATGCATTGTGAGCCATTCAAGTTAGGTGTTAAAATTGTCGCTTTATCACCGAACTGTCGTGGAGTTGAAGTTTCGATGTACAGATAAAAACCTGTAAAAAGTTGAAAAAATGCTTTCATTGACCAAAACAAAATTTATTGTAACGTCACAAAGTTGAACTTAAATCAACTAAAATCGCGTTACACCAAATATCCAGGCACGTTGCCCATTTTTTCCAAGGTCGCTATCTTGTCACGTGATCGAGTCTGAATGCCGAGGATATCTAGTGGTATCCAGTTTTTGTTATACTAATCTGCATGGGAGTCTGTGTAGGCATTAGGCTTTAATATACATTAGAGGTTTCGACCAAGCTACTTAAAATATAAGAAAAGTGAACCAATTTGTATGCAGAAGAGGAGCCTTTATCCAAGTTTTCCTATCTTTCTATGGTAGGTCGAGCAAAACACCGACAGTTTAATAATCTAACGACATTATTATTGTTAACAATCCAATAAGTTATTGTTAAGATCCTATACCCAAACCAAATGGGGATTTATCGTAAATCTCTAAACAAAATGTTAAAGAATCATATTCGTAACAGTAATAGAGAGGTTAAGATACCCCGGTTTCGGTGCACGTGTACGAATAGTGTCATCTTGTTTTACTGATGTCTGTAATTCGATCATACTTTTTCTGTTTTCTTGCAATAGATAATGATATAATGCGAAAAATGTGCACCTTAATTACGAGTAAAGGTACAGAGACCGACGAAAATATTGCTAACCAGTCATGCTACCCGTACACGTACACTAAGACCGGGGTATCTTAACCTCTCTAATAATCATAATCCTTCACTGTTTCTAAAACCTAAAAGTTTATTTAACAGTTTACCTCTGCCGCTGACGTCAGAGCTTGGTCCTGTTCCACCACTGGGTGTACGGCTTCCATTAACCATCCAATTAAACTGTCCAGCACCATTTTGATAACTGCAGATATTTCCTTTGTCAAAGGTACAATTGGCTGAACGAAATCAAATTAAGAAAGTGAAATTTATGTGATTAAAAAATAATTTATGTAAATAATTATTGACTATTGTATTATTTTAAACAGTCCGGCTTAGATCTCACAGGCACCAGGATCACTAATTACTTATTAGTTTTTGCATTGCTCAGTTAATAATGAATAAACGAAAAACGTCATTAGGTCTTTACATACATTTATGCATGCTTGACGCGTGACCGAAAAATGGCTATAGCATGTGTACAGACATACACACGTAAAAACGCACAAGTTGTAGCAAACCTGCAGCAGACTTGTAGCAATGCCGTTCCAACAACTTGTCAACAGGATGTGTTCGCACTGCTTGTTCCCAGCTTGTTGACAAGTTGTCAACGCCTTGTTGACAACGTGCTACAAGGTTGTTGACCTCAACAGACTTGTTACAAGTTGTTCCAACAACTTGTTATCGTCCTGTAATTCAACAATTTGTCAACAAGTTGTGAGTGACAACCTTGTAGCAACTTGATTAAATAACAGCATTGTTACAACTTGTTGACAAGCTTGCTACAAGCCTGTTGCGAACACATCTTGTTGACAAGTTGTGAGATTTTTACGTGTGTATATCTGTAACTCACTTCCTGTCAGGTCTCATTTAACTCGGCATCAACCCCGCCCTGACCACAAAAAGTGCTAGCTGAACAGGAGAAAGGAAAACACTACATATAATGGGCTGGAAATGAAGATGGAAACGTAACTCTGCAGTCACGCAATAAATACTGCATGAACGCAACCCATAACATCAGTATAGTTGCATTTATCACAAATGCTTCCGGTTAGATCTGATAAATGTATAGAATGCACAGTCGCAATTTCCATCTACAAAACCCATCTACAACCACAGATGAATGGCAGATGAAATGAACGGTGCGGTTATACAAAACGCGAAATTGAGTCTGCTGCTGTTGATCCATGCAGCGTTAGGTATTTACTTGCATTGGGTCACTTTGGTTGTTCTCTCCTGTGCTTCGATCGTTCTAGCTTGAATTAATAATAAGTCATGCACTGAAATTCATTGATGAAATTTGCCGACTGCCGCGCAATGCACTGAAAACGCGTTTGCATCTTCGTAATTGTTACATAATTTTTCAGTAATTAGTATTTTGCATTAGTCGTCATGTTTTGTATCTGAACCACTTGAAAAACATTAAAAACCACTTGGTCGCTCTGAGCGAAAACCCGTCGTTTGGAGGTTAGTTAGTAGAGGTACATATATATAGAGTCTGGTGCATGCAGTAGAGATGGTAAAATTGACAGTGGTCTTCGGTCTTTGTTGGTCAACTCAATCATGTAATATTGTGATTTGGAGAACCAATTGGTCTTAACTCTCAAGTCCAATTCATGTAATCGTGCATCTACACATGGGCATTGGAATTACGAGGTATTCACAGAATTTTCGACTCGATCATGAAGAAAACTCACAATGAAATTATATAGAAGCCTCCCGGTATATAGTATAGATAAGAGGGTGGAATAAAAACGATATCTCATCGTCCAATTCATATAATCATATTTCATTAAAATACTGACTGTATCGAATCAGTTCAAAGATAATTTTTCGACGACTTATTTAATTTGCACAGCTATAACATGTCTCAACATCCTGTGACAGTAATCATAATGGCAGTCATGCAGTTGTGAAAAGAGAATCACATGATAGCATAGTTTACACAACTAACAAGAAAAATAGTAAGTACTGGCTCATTTGGCTTACGTGGCTGGACTAGGTTTCCATGCTAAATTTTTATGCGTGAAACGGCTAGACATACGTAGTATTGCATGTACGTCATAAACGTACCTTGATTTAATCCTTTTGTAAGACTGAGTAGAGAACACACGAGCATCATAATTGTTAGCAATTGTGCCATTGTTTAAACCAAATCTTTATCTTGTAAGTTGTATTGAAGCAACAGTCTAGTGGAACATAAAGTATTAAAATAAATTAAAATAAAGTAGCACTTTCTGATTGATCAGATAGGCTGTAGATATAATACTAATACTCTCATGACTTTCGACCAAACAACACTGCAATAATCGTGCAATCTATACATGGGCATTGGAGTTACGAGGAATTCACAGAATTTTCGACTCGATCATGCTTTTTGTGAACTGAAAACAGAAAAAACTCACAATGAAATATATAGAAGCCTCCCTAGTATAGATAAGAGGGTGGAATAAAAACGATATCTCACCGATTTCGTTTTTGTCACAGATACCTTTTTTGTCACAGATATATACTGCTTGTTGTCCCGACATTTTAATAATTGTTCCAAATGTGGAAAAAAAAGCCACATGGGATCTTAGGTGTTCAAAAGCAACAAAGTGTGTTGACGTGCACCATAATATGTTAACGTTAACCCATATGTTAATTAAATTTTGTCCAAAACAGCAACTTGCAAAAGGGAGGGCCCATGCCAGAATTGCTGACCTGAACTGGCCAGAAACAAAGGCATTTTTAACTTATAGATAACTTCATTAGATCATAACAGAGAATCATATGTTATTGTTGTTGAAATTTTAATACAATATATGACTGGTTATACAGGGTGTCTAAGGCCTGTTTTATACATCGAATTTTGAATTGTCACGTCGACTGATGCAATTCAAACAATAGATGAGATGATAAACCTCATTAAGCTTCATTATCTAGTATTCTTTAAATTACATTCGACGCGACCGAAATTCGACGTATAAAACAGGCCTATAAGACAATTAATATAGTTAAAATACTCATTAATAATTCATAAACATTGTGGCAAATCATGTCAGCCATAATATGTCACGTGGAGTGACTTTATATCTTATAAAACTCATCTTCATTAGTATTCTCTATATAATTGTTCATCCTAATTAGTATATGATTATATTATTGTTCATCCTAATTAGTGTTCTTTTGTAGTCGTATTTTAAGCTATTCAAAACACTCGTTGTCGTGTTTTATCAGATATAAAACGCTCGGCTGCGCCTCACGTTTTATATCTGATAAAACACTCCTACTCGTGTTTTAAATAGTACTGATAATAAGATGATAAACCTCATTAAATTAAACTTCATTATCTATTGTTTCAATTGCATTCGACGCGACCGAAATTCGAAAAATTCGAAGCACCAAAACAATGACCCTTTAGAAGTCACCCTTTTGTTGTAAACACCCAAACTTCATTACCTCTGCCCCTCTGGGAATTTAGAACCAACGAAAACGAACGAATATTCAGTTATGCGATAAGCTAGGATATCATATTTACAATTAATTATTAAACATGCATATATCAAAACATAGCCATAGGTAATTTTTTAGAAAATGGCTATTTAAATTGAATCAAAACTATCGAAGTTTTACATGAACGGTATGTGACATAGTCTTTGGGATATGTTATTTTGGTTTTATGCATAAATATACATACTTTTTGACATTCTCTGCATGAATAGTGAATAGCGATGCAAATTGCACTTTCATCTATGAACAAACCAATTTTTATTCTTGGTGACTTGAATTGTAACTTACAGATTGCCCAGAGAAAAGAACTATAATTACAGAACTTTGCAATGATTTAAATCTTAAGCAAATAATCAAGGAACCAACGAGGATTACATGCAGACACGTCACATTCGCTCATCGATGTTATCTTAGTTTCTACCGAAGCCGTAGTGCTTGACGGTGGAGTATTAGATTCTGCAATCAGCGATCATTTTCCAATTTACGTATCAACGAAACTGAAGGTTCCAAAGACATCGCCTACTTACATCACGGTGAGAAGTTATACAAATTACGATCCCACAGCTTTCTCTTCTGATCTGACTACGAAATCTGATCGTCTTTTATCCATATTTACTGAAACAGATGTAAATACTAAAACCGAAGTCCTTAAGGATGTTATTCAGTCAACCTTGGATTTACATGCACCAATTAAAACAATCAAAATTAGGAGCCGCACCAACACATTCGTTACGCCCGACAAGAAAGAACTTATGAAGTCTCGAGACAAACGACATCAGAGATTTCTTAAAACACGTTGCAAGCGGGACTGGGAAATGTACAGAGAATCTCGTAATAACGTTAAAGTTATACTTAAGGAGGCAGCAATAAACCATCTATCTGATGAAGTTAAAGTTCATAAGAATAATCCAGGTTCTCTCTGGAAAATAATTAATACTAGAAATAACTATCGCAAGGAAAGTGCTGCCTCAACCCCAAGGGATGAAAGGCAGCGTGCGCAGTTTGATGAAGAAGAGGCTGTTAAGTTTATATGTAGGACGAGATGTTTGGCGTGATGACTTCAATGTATTGAAATAAGTCACAGTGCACGATTCAGCAAAAAACTTCATTATTTTCTGGAGATAGATTATAGTTAACTGTAAACGCATCGTTCAAGCAGCAATAATAATCTTCTTGAACTACAGATCTTCTCTACAGTTCTGTTAACCAGCAGTAGTATAGGGAAGAGGGGTTCTGGAGCGGGTGGTGCGGGTGATGCACTGTGCACCACGCACCACCCATAACGTCATCACGATATCATTTCATACCACCTACACGCGTTTATAATGTTTTGGACGAGCGTAGGCCAATGATTACTAGCATTTTAAGAAAATGTTTACAGTTTAATACTTTGCTAATATTTATCCCCCGACATATATTCCTTCCAACAAACTGAATGAATTTTAACACATTCCCCACATATATTCTACTAAAGTTGTTGTAATGCTTGTGGGACGTAGATATTTTACACATGCGCAGTGAGAATTGTGTATTATGAAAATTCCTGACTTATAGGAGTTTGCAAAGATTCCGGGAGGAATTTTGCAGAGAATATCCCCAGTTTATTCAAAATTCCCCAAAATCATAAACAACAAATAGATATAGAGTATAAAAGGTGTATTTAAATCATAGATATCTTATATGATTTAAATTCATCGTATTACTAGATTTTATTAGATTATCTTAGAGTGTCCACTACTTTAACACCATCTTTGGTTTTCTCTGGGGATGTATTCACCATGTTTAGGACTATTAAACAAGGAATAATAAACATCCAGACATACATATGAAAATTTTTAAACAGAACTAAGCAGTTGCTAAGCCCAAGTTAAAATCGCTGTCAACGCCGTTGTTATGGCCGATATTTGCATATTACAGAGTCATTAAAAAGTGATAAACCCGCCCACCCCGTTTGGATATACACATATTTTTTTTATTTCACCCAGCGAGCTTGGGACAGGAAAAAATACTAACAAACGGAGAGTTATTACAGATTATATGCAAGATATATCGAAATTTTGTCGTTTGTGGCTCTCTAAAACGTATACAGCCAAAGTCATTAACAGTCATTACTTTTAATCTCTTAACTTAAGTGCTTATTATGGATAGATAGGGATTATTTATTACCTTAAATTCGGGCGCGTGGCTTTGCAGGCAAAAGTTTGAACAAGATTTCACTTTTAAAATACATTTATTTCTTCAAAATGTATCGATATATAATATATATCGTAACTTGTTTGAGACGTTGCACTATCCGATTCGTCATCGTGGCTGCTTTCATCATTGTGGCTGCTTTCATCATCCGAGATATTGATATCCAAGATACTGTGTGATATCCTAAGATACTGTATATATGATATCCTAAGATATTGTATGATATCCTAAGATATTGTATGATATCCTAAGATACTGTACGATATCCTAAGATAATGATATCCTAAGATATTGATATCCTGAGGTATTTATATCCTAAGATCTTGATATCCTAAGATACTGAACGATATCCTAAGATATTGATATCCTAAGATACTGTATTATATCCTAAGATACTGTATGATATCCTAAGATACTATATGATATCCTATGATATTGTATGATATCCTAAGATACTGTATGATATCCTAAGATACTGTATGATATCCTAAGATAATGATATCCTAAGATATTGATATCCTGAGGTATTGATATCCTAAAATCTTGATATCCTAAGATACTGAACGATATCTATACGATATGTATTATCCTAAGATATTGTATGATATCCTAAGATACTATATGATATCTTAAGATATTGTATTATATCCTAAGATATTGATATCCTGAGATATTGATATCCTAAGATACTGTTGGACATCTTAATTATAAGATGCTGCATGATTCGATCCATAAGATATTGACATCCTAAGATATTGTATGATATTTGGAGCCAATCTCGACAGGTTTGGAGTCACTCTAAATAGCTCGCAGCCGAGTTCTCGATAGCTCGAAGCCACTTTAGATAGTTCATAGTCCTGATTATAGTCTTAATAGTCATAACTATAGTCTTAATAGTCATGACTATAGTCTTAATAGTCATGACTATAGTCTTAATAGTCATGACTATAGTCTTAAAAGTCGTGACTATAGTCTTAATAGTCATGACTATAGTCTTAATAGTCATGACTATAGTCTTAAAAGTCATGACTATTAAGACTATAGTCTTGACTTTTAAGACTATAGTCATGACTATGAAGACTATAGTCATGACTATTAAGACAATAGTCACGACTTTTAAGACTATAGTCATGACTATTAAGACTATAGTCATGACTATTAAGACTATAGTCATGACTATTAAGACTATAGTTATGACTATTAAGACTATAATCAGGACTATGAACTATCTAGAGTGGCTTCGAGCTATCGAGAACTCGGCTACGAGCTATTTAGAGTGACTCCAAGCCTGTCGAGATTGGCTCCAAATATCATACAATATCTTAGGATGTCAATATCTTAAAGCTGGGTTACAGTCCATTCTGCGCATGTCTCAAATGTGTACACATTTTGTAAACATTGTCATACAAAAATATTACGTAATACTATAAACTGATAGCATTTCAGAAAAGATGGCTGACGCACAGGAGTGCCAAAATTCTAATTGTTTTTAACTCGCTTATATATTCACATCAAAGCAAGAAATACGGTCAAAAAAGAAACTTTATATCTAAAAAGATGTTTCTAAAGTGTGTTTTTACGAATATTAGTTATTCCGTTGTGCAATTGTTTCAAAATCAAATAGAAACTAATATGTATGAAGCCGCTTGTCAGTTGTTATCTTGCTCGGTGAAACTAAACGTGAAAGTATTTTGTGGTGGTGCTGGATTGGCAATCCAATATGAATTCCCTCCAGTCATTGGATAAGTAAGCTCTTGTTACAAATGGAAATGCATATCAAATATCAATTTCAACACGCTACAGCACGGTTGACAATGGCCGACTCGCGACCATCTACTTGAGAGTTTCAAAGGCAAATCCTTCTAATGCATAATATTTGCTGGTCGCCAGAACCAAACAGGAAATCGAAAAGAATATTTCGCGAAAAGGTATGCATCGAAATTGTAGTATTGATCAGTGGAATCATTTCAAAACTGAAGCTGGAATCAAAAGTGTCAAGTGACGAGGATTCGGCGGTTCGCGAAACTCTGTTGAGCGAGCTTGTATATACGAAACATCAAGACAGATTTAATTGTTTATTGTGGTAAGTACATAACAGATATCCCAGGATATTTCAATTATGTTAATATTGTTATATTTCGTCATTTCAAAAGTTTATTGTGCACTTATAGCGCTGTGGAAACCCAGACGGATCAGCAGACATATGAAACAATGCAGCCATGAGCCATTTGTTCAGCAAGTATATGTTCAGTATATGTTCAGCAAGGATATCTTCAGTATATGTTCAGCAAGGGGAACAGTGATGGAATCATGTGAAGATTCTTACTCCTAAGCAGTACGAATACATTATACAACTTACAATGAAGGTATGTATACCATTTTATGCTTTCCTGAATCCTGGTGAGAAAAAATATGACTTTTGGTTTTTATTGTGAAATCCATTTTCAAACAAATCTTTTGATCATTCTGTAGCCATGTTCAGTAGCACAGTAGCACCTGCTGATTGATATGTTCAGAGTATTAATTAGAGCACTTAAATGCTTTTTTGGAAGCCAAATTTTGATTTGAATGAACATGCAGTAATAAAATCAAAATTTGGCTTGAGTAAGTGCTTTTAAAACACATTGCTCAGCAGGCACTAATGTGCATTTAAACAGGAATAAAACTAATTATAAGTCTTCTTTAGGTATGGGGATTGGTATTGGAAGTGATGACCGAAGGCAATGTGCCCCTAACATAGCCCATGTCCCTCCTCCTTCAGTCAAAGAACTTGTTGAAACCTATTAATCTTAAGATTCAAATGACTGCTGTAGACAAGTGTCTGGCACTTAAAACTGCTGGGTAGGTGAGCTCATAATCCCTGAAAGGCAGTCCACCTTGGAAAAGGAAAATTCTGATTATACAAACTCCTGGACCCAACTAGTGGGTCAGGCTGAAGTAAGGAGCAAGGAGTAATTTTAAAGAATAAAAATATCAACGTCAGTACCAAATGTTGTGCTGGAACATCCAATGCATTTGATAACTTGTCTTTTATAAAATGAAATATTACTGTTCATAAAGATTTAACCAATTAACATGATAAAGGCTCTCATTTGTTAGCAGAATTTGCTGTGTTTAGTAGACAGAGAAAGCTTAAAATAAGTTTAAAGCAATGGGGCTATAAAGGCTAGTTCACACAAGCAATTTTGAACTGCAACTTTCTTCTTTTGGTGCATGTGTTTGAGTGAATATCACAACGAATATACGAGCTAAGCCATGCAAAGTAATATTTCCTGTAATTTTGCTAAATCACATACTGTATCCCAAAAGGAGAAAATCACAGTTTAAAATCGCTTGTGTGAATGGGTCTTATTAACATGCATGCAGGTGGGAATTACCCAAGTTCTTTCAAAATATTTAAAATGATCCTCCCTGTCATGGGGAGATAATTACAGTAAAATGGTTTAGTGAAATAATGTTTTCCTCAATGATCAATAACATAATAACAACATGTGCAACAAATATTTACAATCTAGCAGAGTATATCCCATTTGGAGAAGGATATCGTTTCCGTATTGCCGTAACACAACAGCTTGGAATCATTCTCCTGTTCCCACTTCCTTATCTTTTCATGTTGCCATCTGGAGTACATATTGTTTGTAAGCAGCATGGTGAAAATTTTCATTGTTTCTAACATTATTTAACACTAAACAGTCTTCCCAGCCCTGTAATGCATGGCCAGGTCCAGAACGTTTCCATAAAGTACTAACTGTGGGGAACAGAGGGGCTAGGGTCATGCGAGGCTGTATTGTTTGTGTACAGCATTTGTTTTCCAATTGTGTTGGCATTGCAACACAGCATCCACATTCGCAACACTCTGGGACATTTTCTGGGTTTTCCTCTGGGTCTCAGTGAAGCGGTGCACCTGACACTTCATTACTTAACCAAATCAGCAAATGTAGCTGGCTGACGCTGTATAGGGCATTTAGGCTGACGCTCTTGGGGCATTTAAAATTAAATCCATTGCTTCCACCAGATTCTGAAATGTAAAGATATTTATCATTAATTTAATTAAATGCAAAGACTCAAGCACAATGAAACACGGATATTTTTACCACAAATTCCTCTATAGACTTGTATAGAGGGGTAAACTCTTTTTACATAATTTGATATTTTACAGCAAAGATATGCATAATTATGCAGAGTATGTAATAAAACAAATCATATGTGTTAAAGCTTTCAGAAATGTACTGTCACTCAAATGTACACTGTATGTCTGTGCATATTCTTGGCAGGCAAAGTATTAAACTATGTAAACAAAGTTTATTCATCTATTGTTAGATGATCATTATCCTTCGTTTAGAGTAAACAGTCACAATGAATAACATTACATATTCTCAAATCAAATGTATAAACTACAATGAGCGAAAATAATAAGATTACATGTACATGTGATGTGTGAATCGAATCATGTTTATAACGAACAGTATAACGAACAGTATAAGTGAACAGTACAAACTAATAGCAATAATACAAACTTACCGTATGGTCACTGTCACGTTCTTGAACCCTTCGATTGTTCATACATGTATCAAAATCCTATTCGTGGCATGCGCTTGAGAAAAAACTACCCATACTTTTGCAGGCTCTCTATGGAAAACAGAAGCCGCGACATCAACATATCGTCTCCACATATCTTCCAGCGAAAAGCTTAATTTCTCCGAGTGCTCCTGCCATGACAGCAACAATGACTCTGACAGTGTGTTCCGACGAACAAATAACCCAAGGAAAGGTTTATGATTACTTTGGCACTTCCAAAGTTTATTTTACAATTGCGAACTCGCACCCGGCACCTTTGGCTTTGCTGTGTCGGCCTCTTCTGGATATTTCATTTACGAATCACACCGCACACGAAAGAAAAATGCCGAATTATTAAATCAACAATATATCTTTCATTGGTGGTCTGTTAAAATATTTAATTGCTTGTCTTTCAGAAGACAATTTACAAAAAAAATTTACTTCACTCCTGGTTTCTTCATTTTGTTTAGTGCATAGTCGTATACTTCATATTATCTAATTGAAATGGATCCAAACCAAAACAAAAGATGTAAACAAAGCCTGCACATGCGCAGAATGGACTGTAACCCAGCTTTAAGGTACGGCTCAACGTAAAATCCCAGCTCATTATAACCGCTTTGAAGTTTACTGAGTTTCCAGACCATGTTTTGGACTATGCTCTAATCGACTTCTGTGTATCTTTGTTCAGTGCCAGGGGGTAACTGCTTCTGTTTACTGTACTTGCCGACTGACAAATCATGACAAATAGCACGTACACAGAAAACAATGGAGATGGCCATGATTTCTGTATAGTATTCTGAGTCGTGAGGTTTCATGGTTTTGATAGCATGCAACATGTGCGCACTACGTACCTATTTTTTAGAATATTGCGATGGTATTTTACTGTTTTACCAACTGCTAAGGCCAGTGTGAACGCCTGAGCAGGCGTCTTGTTTAATTTAATTTGATTTGTCACAACTCATTTACATACAAACAAGATTGGTTACTGACACTAGTACAAAACATGTAAAAATACAACATTGGTGTGACTGGAGAGCAAGCCTGGAAATAAGCGTCCGGTCATGGTCATTGACCAGCACAAATACACGATTTGCAGTATTTTGACAGGCACAAATTTGATTGTGTCTGTCACTTTGTCCGGCGCTCATTTCAGTGTTTAAAGTCTTTAAACTAAACTAAAATAACCTTCCTGTCAACAAGTTCTCTATTATTTGTCAGGGTGTTAGCCAGAAGTAAAAAAATCCGCGTTTACCTGAAATTGGGAAATTTATTTTAGCCTGACGCCGGGCATTTCTTTGTGGGTCTGGGGCATGAGGTTGCCTCTGGTTAGGTGCAGACGTGGTCAGCTAATGATCTACGGATTTAAGTTACTTGGATTCAGGTCCGAATCACGTGGACCTGTCCTCTGATTTTTAAAATTTTTGTGTCTTTGAAATGCCATTTCCTGCATTTTGGGAGTAATTTTGAGCAAATGTAGTTATAAACATGTTTTTAACTATTTTTTGGCTGACCCAAATTGGTAAATTGCGACCTCAAGGTAATTGGGAAAACCGCGTTTAACACGGAATTTTTTACTGTAGCTAACACCCTGTTTGTGCTATAAAGTTTAAAATTATCTGGTTTATTAAATACACGATGCTTTTTAATAAACAATGCTTTAAACACGACGGCATGTTTGTGCAGTGTTTCCACTATGATAAAAATTCCTTCTTATTTGCCTTGTGATGAATGATGATCAAACTTCCTTCCAAGTGGAAACGTCATTTGTGAGTTTGGCGGGAAATTTTGTTGAACTGCGAAACAAATTAGAGTGTCGAAGAAAATAACTGACTTGGTTGGATGGTTGGTTCGTTTGTACAATTTTCATTATGCACTTGTTGTGAAAGATTGCTATACTCACTTGTTCGCTTAGCTCACTCATTCGTTTGCAATCTTTCACAACTCATACATAACAATCGTACACGCTCACCAACCATGCAGGAATCTCTATGTATTTAAAGATTTTAACCATTGCATATTTTGTATTCTATGTTTTTGGCGGTCTGGTACAATGACCGGTACTTTTTGTTTCATGACAGGCACAAATTCATTGGTGCTGGTCATTTTGACAGGCAGGTTCCCAAAAATTATTTCCAGGCTTGCTGGAGAGAGGAACAGGACTTGCAACCCAATTGACACCTAACTACACATACGTCGCTATAGGGGGTGGGGGGGGGGGGTAACACCCCCAATAATTCAAACGTTGGTCAAAGTTGGTCAAAATGGAACTGATATTTGCTTAAAATTGAAGGCAAAACTCGGAAAAATTTGGTAAAAGTTTGGGATGAAAGATGGTCGAAGTTGTTAAAATTTATGAAATGGTTCGCAATTTTAACAATTATAAACCTTTTGTGACGTTTGCGGCGAAAAAATCGGGAGCCTTGCTTATTTTGGCCTAAAAATTTTGAATACGCTCACATTAGTCCAGAAAAAATTTTTGGACTATGTTAGTCAGAAAAATTTTTGTGATCTCCCCCCCTTCCCCCTGTTGACAACATTTCCGGGAAAAATTTTTAAGACTTGGTCAAAAGCCTGGGAAGTCTTGGACAAAACATGACAACACCCCCCCCCCCCCAATGTTGATAGCTTCGCGATGTCCCTGCCTAACTACTAATAAATGACTATACATTGACCAAACACAATACATGAATAGGAAACCATAGGTTATTTTAAAGTTAAGAACAGCCAGGAGAGCTGTAAACATGGCTGCTTTGATGCCATGTTTGCTTTTAATTAAACTTATTTTAATATTTTGCCAACCAAACTGGCGGAAGTCAACAAATACATGTTGCGACGTCATTATATAAATAATAATAATTTTAATAAAACTGCTTTGCAGAAAAACTGAATAACATGGTTTTAAGCACAGAATTACACAGTATTATTGCACAAGCACAGCATGGGACCAGTGACTAGCAACATAACAATATAAATCGGCACATGCAGATCAATCCATTGATTATTTGGGATCATCGGCCTTCAAACAATTAGCCTCAGTAATCAGCAATTTTTTGTGATTGCTACATCTCGTGACACGATAGTATAAACATTATTTATAGTTTATACTTCCATCGGCCTTAAACATAAGATAGTTGGTACATAATTTCATAGGACAAATTGCTCATTAGGGCACATAATTTGCTGGTTAATAATTAAAAAATATTAACAGAGCAAGGTTTATACTAGCAAAGACTTGCAGTATTAGTTTCTATGTTTCGGCAAACTTACCCCCTTCAACTGAGACGTCTTTGTTGAGAAATTCTACACCGATGGTATGAAACGACTGACTGTCGAATTTATCACTCACAAAGCGATTCATAAGCGACGATTTTCCAACCCCTCCATCACCCAATAATACCACTTTAAGAAGAGACGGTTTGCTGGCCATAACGCCGGAATTAAAGCGCTAAAGTTATGTCATTTTTATAACTTGAAATTGAAGAGAATCTTTCGTGTTTTGCAATATTTAAAAGTTAAAACATCATGTGATTTTAATTTAATTCCGGTTTATAAAGTCAGGTGATATTTATTGGTCAGCGGTGGACCAGGGTGAATGAATACTTTATCTAGCCTAAAGCCCCCTGAATATTGAATATAAGCCCTTCGTGTCTAGTCCGTGTCTAAGCCCATTGGTTAATTACACACCGACAGCGATTCCAACAGCTCTTAATAGTGATAATAATTAGATTACAGTATTGTACTGTATAGATTATTTCTTTTCGTTCACGGTATAGTTTACAGATACATTAAGGGAGTGGTCATTATTTATAAGGAGGGGGGAAGTTGGTAAATTGGAGGTGGGGGGCAAACGAAGTTTTACCGGGGGAGGGGGTCAAAAAAGTTTTAACCTAGAGAAAGAGAGGGTCAAAAAAGTTTTTGAACAGTTAAATATCATGTCTAGAGTTCTGATTTATATAATCACAAATAACATAGACTCAAAAGTCATAATGCCAAAGAGGTAAAAAAGACTCTGAAAATCGGCCATTTCCAACGATCTAGAGACTCGATTGCAAAATTTTCAAAATTTCCCCGCTTGGCGCCAACCATGGTAGCGTTTTGTGAGAGTCTGGCCCACTACGTTTAACAAGCTTCCTACCCCCTGAAGTATAACCAGTTGTGGTATTTACCAGTGTTACATTGTAACGAGTCGAGTCATTGTCTCGGACTCGAGTCAACTCGAGTCGCTATTTTCAGCGACTCGACTCGAGTCTAATACGAAATATGACTCGACTCGAGTCAACAGCCCCAAATGACTCGACTCGGACTCGACTTGCTGATTTTTGCCCTAAATGACTCGAGTCGACAAATCAGCTACAACTTGCCTACAGAATAAATTCATCAAAATTATTGTGATTGTATTGCTTGGGAAGAACAATGAGTCCTTCATGTGAACAATGAGAGCTTCGAAACTTTTTTATCAGAAAATATATGAGGATTCCGGGATTTTCATAGAATATATCCCTGAAGGGCATGCCTATTACATTTCTGTTTTTAGAAACAACGCTAATGTCACAGTTTTTAAATGGAGTCTCAAAATTTTGTATACTTATTTTGTATATTAATTTTGACCGGCTCTTTTCATTTTTGGTATTCAGTATGAAGTGTTACATCATTTTAAACTAACTTACAAAGCGTAATTAATTAAACTCTATTCTTTGTTAATTCTGACACCAGTTGCAAGTTATGCTAGTTGACTAGTTGTATGTACATATACACTCGATCAGCAGGCATGATGAAACATCTCATGTAGTCGACGTACTTAATATTGACTAGAACTGTGATATTGGTACAGCTTAGCTGCCCAGATACTGTTAAGCCAGCTAGGATAACAAACCATTACAGAAAGCGTGGGGTGGACTGGATGAAATTCCCTGACTCAAGTCAAGTTTAGCTGTTGACTCGACTTGACTTTAATCAGTGACTCGACTCGAGTGAAGCCGCTGACTCGACTCGACTTGACTCCATCAGAAACTGAAATGACTCGACTCGTGACCAAGGGTGGGTAGTAGCGAAGTAGTTGTAGTTCGCTACTGTAGCGAACTACAATTTTCAAGTAGCCAGTAGTTTTTGGCTACTTTTTTAAAACAGTAGTTGTAGTTATAGCGAACTACATTTTGCCTAAAAGTAGCCAAATAGTTGACTACTTTTCAAACAGCGAATCGCTATTCGCTACTTTTTTAAATTGTTGCAACCGTTCATAGAATAGAATGACATTAAGACATATTAAAAGATTATTTTTTACAGTAAAGATTGTTTTAGCGCAATGAAAAGTGGCACTCCTCAACACTGTAGTGCTTACAAAAATATTAATGTTGTTTTGTGTTTACTGTTGCTACTCGTAAGTCGATTTGTTATAAGTTGTATTGCAGCCTGAGCTAATATGCTCCAAATACAGTAAAACTAAAAAATATAGTGTAGCGAAATAGCGAAATAGTTTGCTACATTTTTAAAGCAGTAGCTGTAGTCAGTAGCGAACTACCTTTGTTCAAAAGTAGCAGTAGTTGTAGCTGACTACACATTTTTGAAGTAGCTGTAGTTATAGCGAACTACAAACATTTTGCAGTCAACCCACCCTTGCTCGTGACTCGACCTTATAATTTGAGTGACTCGACTCGACTCGTGACTCGACCTGTAGGCATATATGTCCAAGTAGCCATCTGTTATCGGATCGTTACGATCCGTAACTTTCAATATATACAGATGGTCGTGCGGCATATGCGTTAACCCTCCCTTTTACATCAGACATTAACATGATTACAACCATCCCTCGTTCTTCAAGAAACACTATGTTAACTAAACATATATTTTGATTACATCAGACATTTATTGATGTTAACATGAGTACAACTATCCCTCGTTCTTTAAGAAACACTATACATACGATCCCTCGTTCTTTAACTGAAACACTATATTGATTGACTAAACATACATTTTGATTACATCAGACATTCATGATTACAACTATCCCTCGTTCTTTAAGAAACACTATATTAACTAAAGATATATTTTTCTTACATCAAAATGTCTGATATAATCAAAATGTATGTCTTTCAATACAGATGGTCGTGCGGCATGTGCCGATGTGCGTTAACCCTCTCCTTTACATCAGACCTGAATAACATAATCGGCCTCGTTCTTTAAGAAACACTATATTAACTAAACATAGACTATTTTCGATTACATATTGTCTGAGTGTAATCATAGTCTTTCGAGACATGGTCTGGAAACTCAGTAAACTTCAAAGCGGTTATAATGAGCTGTGTGTTTATGTTGAGCCGTACCTTACACCGTGCATGCGTACATCCTTTGTTTTAGGTTTATTAATATTTAAATAGCATGGTTGAATGACTGAACTGAAACGTTGCTATTGGATGATTCGTTCATTATACTGAAATACAATGTGTTCATTGACCGTGCACCGTGCACAAAACTGCATAAACGCGAACAAAAAGATGAGAACAAAGACTTTACCGGAGTTTCCAAACCATGTTTTGAAAGACTATTATAAGTAATAGCATGGCATTCAGGGCGATTAGTGATTAAATGTACCCGAAAGCCGAGAGAGGTTTAGTAAACTTTTACTAAACCTCTCGAGGCTTGAGGGACATTTCATCACTAATCGACCGTAATGCCATGCTATTACCACAATTTAATGATATTCAGTTGTGTAACTCGCGGCCGTCAGTATTGATTACGACGTCCCCAAGAATCGAATGCTCGCGTCATTTTTGTCGCGTCACGAAATCGCGAAAGACCGTGTCGCTTGCAGATTTCAATACAAAAACATAAGGGAAACAGCATTCGAACGGTGAAATATGCTAATTTTACAAAGTTTGTGTACTTGATGGAGGTTTTGGGGTTAAAATTTTGCAAGCCAATGGTAAGTGTTTTATATAACATGTATTGTTGTTTCATATCAAATTTCTTTCGTTAGAAATTGCAAATCAAATAACCAAGTGTAAATACCACGAGGCTCGGACTCGGAGCGCTGTCATAGCTGCTGCATAAAATTTCGAAACTGATTATCAACTAAACAAACTGGTATGTAAATGTCTTGTTTCTCTTTTTATTAGTAACAAAGTCATGGTTTGGATATGTAAACCATTCTCCATTTTAAGGTTAACATGTAGTATAAATATAAATGTTCAAATCTCAATACAGTAGTCACTCAACGCAATCCAAGACAGTCTGTCGGTCAACAATATTGAAATATTAAATTCAACATAATTCATTTTCATTCAGTTTTCATAAGTGCTGAATCTTGATATACTTTCTGTTTTTTTCTTTTTCCTGTCTTTCTTGCTCTAATTCTTGGTTGTTGAACTTTAAAATGCAATGCAAACGCATTTTTACAAATAACTCAATGAGGTACATGCTTGGGAAATAAGAGCACTCTGATACATTGGCAATTTTGCAATTATGTGCTCTGCAATTTTTGATCTTTGGATATAACAACTAAGTTAATCAACAACTTTGCTCTCTATTTTAGTGACATACTGAATAAATTCATCTTGAGGACCAGTCAGTCCTCCAGAGTCAGTGCTCTTGTTTTCATAAGCTTTAAAATAGCACAGTAGCTGGCTGCTGCTGGTCAGGGTAAGCTTATGTGCACAAGTAAGGCATTTCTGTTTGTCCAGACATTTTCGCAGTAGGTATCCTGCAACATATGTCAGTGCATTCATGGCCATTAAATTCTTCTCAACTTCCTCATGCTTGTAGTCTTTCTCGTCCATTACAGGTCCTTTCTTGGTGTTCTTTTGAGTACCTGGACAAGGATCTGACAAGGCTGACAAGCTGGTCACCAGAAATGTGTCTGAATCAGCAGCAGTGGCATAACTACGATGGGCTCGGACCGCGTGAACCCGGGGGCCCCCAATCCCAATTTTTGGCCAAATGGGGGCCCCCAGGCTCAGGCTGTAGAGCAAAAACATTGGCCAGGGTTTCTGGTATGTTAGAATGTCGTTTTCTGACCATCAGAAGTCTGTAAAATCTCTCCCCAAAGTCTGGGAAATGGCAGTTCAGAGAGTTTAGATTCGTGCTTTTGGCACTTCTACTAGGGGGACCTTCGAAATTTTTTAACTGGGGGCCCCCTGATATTTTTTTTATTATTTAATAACATTATGCCACTGATCAGCAGAACGGTTGAATTATGTTCAACAAAAAAATTATATAGTAAATGACCTTAAAAAAGCTTAACCTTGATTAGTAGGTTCAACAGGATTATGTTGTGTTCCAGAATAAATTTATATTGGTCTTGAGGATGGACCTAAATATTAGTGGGACATTGATTAATTCATTTTTAAAGCTGTTCAGAAATCTAATTGGTTAAAATATTTTTTGCAGGAGATCTTTTGAAGAAGAAGTCCTGGTGTAATACCTGTAACTTAATCATCATCATTAACTGAATTTGAAGACTCTGTACTTGAACATTTAAAGGATTAGTGTCAGGGTCGATCATGCATTGTGGGCTTTTGTTATTGTTTACATATTACTCAATACATCAAATAGTGATAAAAATACTTGTTTGGTACATTTCTCATAAAAATCAGACAAAAAGAGCAAGGATTTATTTATAAAAGGATGGTTTAAATATATGATGGATTGTAAACACTTTCCAGATGACCTAATCTATTCGTCCCGAAAAATGGCCGCCGGCATGAGTTTGAGCCCGCAAATTCTTAAAGGAATGTTGATGGTCACAGTGGTAGTACTAGTTGATGGAACTGAACCATAAACCTCCGACTATAAGCCCTGGGCTTATATTATTTCGTAAGCGATTTTTGATGGGATTATACAAGGGGGGGGGGGGTTATACATGGATGATTTTTTGTGTTAGTGTAATTATAGTAATAAACATGTACAGTAATAGTGATAAACAAGCATAGTAATAGTGATAAATAGTGGCAATTAAGTGATAAACAATAGTGATAAACAGGTGGGCTTATATTCGGGGGGGGGGCTTATATTTGGAATGAGGTGAGCATTAGTACACAGGGGGGGCATATATTCGGAGGGCTTATATTGATATATTCGGAGGTTTACAGTATGGGTGCTCAGCCCAGAGTCTGAAAATAATATTTATATACCTTTTATTTAATAACATCACTGTAAATGCAAGTATTTTGTTTACATTCGCAGCCTTTCATACATATACCACATAGGCGACAGAGCTAATGCACCTATCATTGTTTTCCCCCTAAGGGGGGGTGGGGTGCGGGCGACCCAGGGGACTTTGACCACACTATGAAGCCCCAGTGAGGGGAATTTGACCTATGCATCAACTCCCAGAGTCGGGAAATTTTGACATCCGCCATCTTGAAAGTTTGCGCGGTTTTGATATTAAGAAGCCTGGTAACAACTATGGCAATATGGCGGACAAACAAGAAGATCAAGTTTCATCGAAAAAGATATTTTAATCCATATTAATATCACACTACATTAAACCATCCATGTTTGATTTATATTATATTATATCATATATGTCTTTTTATTAAAATATGTATGTTTTTTAATGAATAAATAATTTTTGGTGATTTAATTAATATAAAATATCTTATGAATGCCCAGGGCAGTCATGCGATAAGTTTTTATATTTACATATATTAAAATTTTGTTTCAAAACAGGTTCTACTTCAGCATGACAACAGTCGGAAGGTGGTTTTCGTGGACAAATTCTCCGACATTATCAACAAAGCGAGGGAATGTTTTGAATTAAATAAAGGAAACGTATTGATTGTCCAGAAATATGATGAAGAATGGAGCGAGTACATAGATTGTGACAGTTTTGCCCAGATTAATACTGGTGATAAACTTAAAATAATATTGAACCAAACCTGCCGATCTGATGATGGTCAAGATACATCTCTAGTAAGTATTAAACTACACTTTTCCTCAACACTATCAACTCATGCAATTTGAACATTCAAAGCCATTTTTATATTACTTATGCATTCTTTAAATGGGATATATTGGTTCGAATTACATGTATTAATTGTTAAATATTGTCAATGATGTAGTCACAACAAACCAGGGAGGTTACAACATAATGGATTTGCATGAATCCTGTAAATGTTCAAGCCAACAACTCTGCATGGGGGAGTGGCTCTAGCTATGTCTCTGAATGTTTATATAAAGAAAAAGAAATGGCATTTATATCTAAGCAAAAAAAAATGGCAAATAAATAAAGAAATGGCATTTATATTTATATCTACTGTTGTGGTGACCCTGCCATGAATGCATGACAATGGCGAAGTTAAATAATTAAATAAATAAATAAATAAGCTGTATAAAATGGTGATGTGACCTCTTTTAGAAAATATTTGATATGCTGCAGATACTGAAAGAATTTGTAGACTAAACCCATTAACTGCCAGTACCCTACTACTGAAGAGTAAAATCATTGTTTACTTATAGCCAATTAAAGTAAAACAGGCTGGCGTTGGGCAGAGTAAAATACAATAGAAGGGCATATCTGCCTCATTGCCATATGGGATATAATCATGCACTATGCAGGGTTTGGGAGAAAGAGAATTATAATTGTTTCACAATACTAATCTGTATTTTAACAGAATGACTCCACAAAGAGGGACTTACCCAAAGAGAAGGTTCGACAAGTATTCAAAGGCCAAAAGAAAATAAAACTATCAACAAAGGGTGAAATTATCCTTGAGCCTTTACAAAAGCAGGTAAATTAAGTTAACACACACATGATATACTTTGATATTCATAAAAAAATGATTTGGTGCTGGAAATTGTATTTTTCCACTATTAAATTCTTTCCAATGTAAAATGAGGCACCCAAATTAAAACTATAGAATTTGTATGACAATTACAAATTACTATAATTGAAATATGAACATTGAGCTATACAGGTATATCCAGAAAATATGTTGTTTTGTGCATGTGAATACATTCATTCATTCAGACTTTTTTCAGGATATTGTGAACCTTCAAGCTCAGACAGAACATGAGTCAATACAAAGAGGGCAAATATATCAAAGACCATAACATTTACTAAAGCCATATGAAAAAGCAATAAATGCTGCATCAGAAGAGTTGGTAACTATGAATCCATCATTGATATTTGATAGAAGTGCATTGTTTGAACAGGCCCGACAAAACGTTAGGGAACGTGGATATGTTTTCAAAAAAGGCTTTTCAAGGAGCAAACATAATCAAACAGAACCCCCCAGTTCAAAACCAAAGAATACTTTATCTGATGATAGAAAAACCAGAATTCTTAAGATCACAGAACAACTTCAAGTAATAAATGACCAAATCGTGCTTAAAGAGAAGCGCAAATTGAAAGCAGAGCAAGTGAAAGATTATCAATTGTGTGATAGATTGTTAAATGAAAAGAAACAGCTTTTATCTGAAAAGCAAACTCTGGAGTCTGAAATGAAATTATTACAACGTAAAGAGCACAAATCAGCTTGGTATTATTCTAAAAAAACAAAAGTCAATTCAACAACTGACCTTAAGAAGCCAAACAATAGAATTAAGGGTCAAACATCTTTGCATTCCTTTTGCACATCTTCAATATCACAGGAACGTATGAGCCTCCCACAGCAAATTGATCTAGATAATTACCCTGAGCAAAGCCCGTCCTTAAATGTCAATATAAACCAAGCACATTCTATCAATGCTGATTTTCAAAAAAGTGTTCCTTGCCCACAGAAAAGTTCATCTGTGAGAGACATCACTAATTCTCAGAATTTCTCATTTGTCAACGTGGCTAGTTGCCCACACCCAACACCATCACAGCATAGTCAACCACCTATCAATGACCAACCACAGCAAAGCATACCTATGATAGCTAATAATTGCTTGAAACAAAATCCATTTGCCCATACCAGTCACCCACAACAGCAAAATATATCTTTCATTGCTGATAATATTTCACAACCAAATTCATCTGTCACAATAAATATTAACCCACAGCAAGGTGTGCCTGTCCAAAAGAATAGTCACACACAACAAACTTTATCATTCAGTGATGACGATTGCAATAGAGCTAATGATGAAAGTAAACCTATTGGTGAAATGTCGAGCAAGGATTTTTAAATGTGCCCCTTAATTCCAAGGGGCAATTTTATATGATTAGTATTTACAAAAGGGAAAAGCTTAAAAAACTATCAGAATATACAGATACCCCTGACGGAGCAATTTCTTTGTTTGAAGGGTTGTCATTAGTTGATTATATTGTTGCGGGAGAAACAGTATGTATTAGTGAGCATAGACAACCTTGTAAAAATTGTCTTGGATTACTGAACGTTGCAAAGGTAGTTGCTAATGAAGGACACTGGAAAACGAAAGATGCATTTAAATGTTTAGCTGAACATATACAACCTTGTGAAGCATGTCCTGAGAAAATCACAAATAATGTGAATGAAACCTGTAACAAACCCAAAATGTGTTCAGATCCAATAAACATGGCCAACTATTCTTCACAGCATGCTAAGAGAAAGTTCCTTCAGATGCCACTTGCTGCTATTAATGTGAAGAGTGGAAGCAAAGAATCAGAAACTTTCCTTGTTGACAAGCATGCAAACCTAACTTTGCTGCGCAGTCTTTTACAGAAGTTGCTTGAAAAACGCCAAGACAACAATTTATTAAACATGGAGACTTTCAAGGCACTTATTGAAAGTTGTAGCTCTGATGCAGAACGCGAGAAGTTGCGTTTTACGGTTGCAGAGACAACTGGATTATCACAAAGACAACTTACAAATCAGTTTGGAATTTCTAATTCCATTAACAGGAAGGAAAGAATTGAGCATGCTCTGGCACGAGCTTTGGAGATTCGGAATAATGTAGAAAAACTAAGTCAGATTAGAGAACAAGCAGTGTTAATGTCTCTTGGATTTGATGTGGCTGAAATTGACTCTGATGATTCCTCGTCCGAAAGTCAATCAGATCCAGATGTTGAAGTTGAAAATGATTTAATACTACAACAATCTCTAACGAAGAGAGTTCCAACACATCAGTATTGTGAAAACGAAGAGGAATTAGACACAGCGACAGCGTTATTCCAAAAGTGTAAAACTCAGAAATTACTGTCCTGCTTGAAAGATAATCATTTCAACTGGATTTCATTTGTAGACACATTGAAAACTGAGGAACCTTCCATAACGCCACATGACTTGGCTGTCTTTGCATCACAATTACCAGATGTGATTCCTTCCAATGAGCTAGAACTGTTCAAACAAAGTTACCAGGTTTTTCTGGATAAACAAGAAGAAGACGCACATGAAAACAATAATGTGAATGATGATGAAATCGTATCCGAGTCAGAAGATGATAACCCGGAAGAATGGGTTGGAATTGAAGATCTGCTTCAAGGGCCTGGAAAGTCTTTGCTGCAACGGAAGATACAAGCAGTTAGACGAAAACGTCGGCGGGAAGCTGCGAAGAAGATTGCTAAAGAACGATTGCTATCAAGGAAACGAAGCAAACATGTTGGAACCATTCTTCGAAAGTACCCGGATATTGGTAAGGAAATCGAAGCATTTGTCAAATCATGCGGTGTGGGTGCTGAAGCTTGGCGCCACACAGGTGTATTGACATTTGACGGCAACAAAAAGGTGCAAAAGAAGTGCACATTCTTTCGCATCAAACAGCATTTAGAAAAGACGTACGGGAGGAAGTTTGCATATGGGACGGTGGTACAAATGTGTGTAGCCCGTAACCGTCGTCGCCGATCTGCCCAAAACTACAGAGCTGTTGCACAGGTCACGACAAGTAGAGCCAGAAAGGGGTTTGAACTCCGTTACAATCCTGATAGTCATTGGTCTGCAGCGTTGTATCGAGGCCTCGATGCTATTCAATACACAGATGGAAATGACAAGTTGGTTTTAAACAGGGATGATCTCTCTGTTTTTCGCTTGGATTTTATGGTCACGCATAACAAAGCAGGTACACAACAGATAAAGGGCTCGCCAACATTGACTACAAAAACGGACTATCAAGCAAGCTATCCCAACAAGCTACAAACGACATCTTACAATTTCACCAGTACTAACACCACTGGAGAACTTTGTGGTGGAGTTGTCAAAGCCGTTTCCCTGCATGGCAAGAATCCAGCTCAGCACATGGCTGACCTTAAAATGCTTGAGAAAGAAGAACAATTCCAGCCAGCATTTATTTCACTTGAAGGAAAGGAGAAAAGAATTGAATGTATACGAACAGACAGTGGTTCTGACGAAGCACCTTGCTACGATGAAGTACAGTTTTGGCGGACAAGGCGACACATGGAAAAGCCAACTGTTGTGCAACTTGTTACAAGCAGGCAGAGCGGCGGAAGTAACCTCAATCGTGTAGAATTACAGAATGGTTGCGAGGTTAAAGCAAGGTGTGGTTTGTTTGTTTGTGTGGTTCTCTGGATCCACTCCCGGTGGTCATGCTAAATCACTGTTTTAAAGACATCTTACCCGTTGTAGCTAGAATAATCAACCTCTCCTTGGAAAGTGGTACAATGCCTGACTCTTTGAAGATTGCTGTTGTTCAACCGCTTTTAAAAAAGTACAATCTTTCCTATGAAGAATTCTGCAGTTTTCGTCCAATATCAAATCTGAAATTTGTCTCGAAATCTATTGAGAAAGCAGTTGCTGTACAATTAACTGATTATCTTACTGAAAATCATCTACATGAGAAATTCCAGTCTGCTTATAAACCTTGTCATAGTACTGAAACAGCGCTATTGAGGGTTCAAAATGATATCCTTCAAGCTCTAGATAACGGTGATTCTGTTATTCTTGTCCTACTGGATCTGTCGGCGGCTTTTGACACCGTGGATCATTCAATGTTATTAACAAGACTATCGAAACGCTTTGGCATAAGGGGTCGTGTGTTGGATTGGCTTACCTCATACCTTACATCCAGGAAACTGTTTATTCGTGTTGAGGGAACTGATTCGTTATTGAGTGATCTTGATTGTGGTGTACCTCAGGGATCTGTGTTGGGTCCTCTGTTGTATTCACTCTATACTGCCCCTCTCGCGGATGTGGCTAGGCGCCACAATCTGCGCTTTCACTTTTTTTCTGATGATGGGCAACTTTACATTGCATTCAAAACGAATGATCGTGATGATTAATTAATATCATCTAAGATCCGTATGGAGAAATGTATACTTGAATTGGGAAACTGGTTGATGTTGAATAAATTGAAACTAAATAGTGGCAAAACGGAGCTTATATTAGTCCATTCACGCTATCATCTGATGCCTCCCTTAAATTATATCATGGTGGGAAAGGAAAAAATTGTGCCAACTGTTTCAGCAAGAAATCTGGGGGTGATTTTTGATGAGGGGATCAGATTGGGCGAACATATTAATGGTATCTGCAAGTCAGCTTACTACCATATTAGGAATATTTCAAGAATTAAGAAGTATCTACCTCGAAATTGCTTAGAAATAATTATTCATGCATTTATAACTTCAAGACTGAAGGAACTTATGCTGTGTCATACTTCGCAGCGTACTCTTCGATCAAATGGAAATGAATTGCTCCAGATTCCTTGTTCTAGACTAAAGACATACGGAGACAGATCGTTCTGTGTTGCTGGACCAAGATTGTGGAATGATTTACCTGTTCATCTTCGGATGTGAGAATCATTAACCACTTTTAAGAAGTTTCTTAAAACATATCTTTTTAACTTGTTTTTAAATAGTGTATGATGTATTCTATAGTTTTAACATTCTTAACACTAGTTTTTAAGATTGGATTTTGTATTACTGTAAAGCGCCTAGAACAGTCTTGGTTTGTGCGCTATATAAATGTTTTTTTAATATTATTATTATTATTCTCCGATGCCAGCATAACAGGCTATGGAGCAGTAGCGTACCTTCGTTTATGCGATGAAAGTGATAACATCCATTGTTCATTCCTAATGGGCAAAGCTAGTTTGGCCCCCAAAAAGATTGTGACGATACCACGCTTGAAACTCAGCGCCGCAGCAGTATCCGTTAGTATCGGAGCGCTGTTAAAGAGTGAATTGGATGATATTTATGATCTGAAATACCACACCGATTCCACAACCGTCCTTCGCTACATCATCAACGAGCCACAACGCTTTCATGTGTTTGTCGCCAATCGTGTTCAACTAATTCGTAACTACTCAAACCCAAATCAATGGAGATACGTCGAAACATATGACAACCCTGCTGACGATGCTTCGCGAGGAACAAGCGGAGAGCGCCTACTTCAGCAGCGACGATGGTTCGAAGGTCCAGAGTTCCTTTGGAAACCAGAACAAGAATGGCCACAACAACCAATTGATATGGGTCAGATTAGCAACGATGATCCTGAAGTCAAACATCAAGTTGGAAGTAATGAAACTGTGATTGATGACCTAAATAATCCTACGAACCAATTGATTCACTCCATTTCCTCATGGCATCAGTTGAAGAAAGTAATAGCCGTATTTCTTCGCACAAAGAAGATTCTACGAGACAGGATACAAGCTCGTTCAAGTGTAAACAAGGAAAACTTCATCGCAAACAGTCATTCCAACTCCCTCTCTGCTGAAGACCTAGCCCAAGCTGAGATCGCCATCGTAAAGTTCATTCAGTTAACTACGTTTCACAAAGAGATAATGTGTCTTAGCAACATCAAGCTCGAAGACTCCGCAGACTACCGGAAGTTTCAGAAAAGCAAAAAATTGACTATCAAGAAAGTCAGCTCGATCCATCGTCTCGATCCATACCTTAAAGACAGAATCCTTAGAGTTGGAGGCCGACTTAATCGTGCAGAGCTGTCGCCAGAAACTGCCCATCCAATCATCTTACCTTACAAGAATCATGTAACAACCCTCATCATTCGTCATCTACACCGACAGTTAGGTCATGTTGGACGAAATCATGTTATCGCAGATATTCGCGAAAAGTATTGGGTGATAAAGGTTAACGCCGCAGTACGACGAGTCCTCTCCAAATGTATGTTTTGCCTTCGCCATCACGGAAAAGTTAGCGAACAAAAGATGGCTGATTTACCCGAAGACCGCATTACGCCAGCACCTCCATTTACCCACACAAAGGTTGATTACTTCGGCCCTTTCATCCTAAAAGAAAGACGAAAAAAATTGAAGAGATATGGGGCAATTTTTACTTGTTTGGTGAGCAGAGCTGTGCATATCGAAATCGCTAATCTCTCGATTCAGATTCGTTCATTTTGGCACTACGTCGTTTCATAGCTCGCCCTGGTCCAGTAAGATGTTTAAGGAGTGATAACGGTTCAAACTTTGTTGGCGCGAATAAAGAACTTAAACGAGCCCTAGAAGAAATGGATCAAAATAGTATCCGTAATAGTATCCGAGAAGGAATCGAAATGGCAATTTAATCCACCATCGGCTAGCCACATGGGCGGTGTGTGGGAGCGCCAAATCAGATCTACGAGAAAAGTTCTGGCTGGGTTGATGTACGAGCATGGAAGTCGTTTGGATGAAGAGTCGTTCAGGACTTTGATATGCGAAGTTGAAGCTGTAATTAACTCCAGATCATTGACGGTGGTATCAAATGACCCTTCCGATTTGCACCCACTAACTCCTAATCACCTCCTTACAACGAAGTCTGCTGTGACACTTCCTCCGCCTGGAAATTTTCAGAAAAACGACGTTTACCTACATCGTCGTTGGCGAAGAGTTCAATACCTGGTAAACCTATTCTGGACTAGATGGAAGAAAGAATACCTTCTTACCCTGCAAAACCGAAGCAAATGGCAACAACCTAAGCGTAACCTGATGACGGGAGATGTGGTAAATTTGAAAGAAGAGAATACACCTCGTAATATGTGGCCCTTGGGCCTAGTCGTGGACACAGAACCAGATTCTCAAGGATTCATTAGGACTGTAATGGTGAAGATAAAAGAAACTGTGTATAAAAGACCAATCTCAAAGATTGTACTTTTATTGGCTAAAGTAGATAAGTGAATTGTGTAAACTTCTTGCGAAGTCTAGGGACCGGGAATGTTATTGGGTTTGCATTTAAGTATAAAATTTGTTAAATGATTAATTATGCAAATTATAGTTTGTTATGCAAGATTGACATTGGACATTTTGTAAGGCTTTTAATACTTGCTAGAAAATTAACTAGTCAGTTGATCATACGATACGAAGTCGAACAGAAGGCGTTTCATTTATGTTATAAGTGACAGTATAACGATCGAAGTTGAGTTAAAGGTTAAACGAACTTGCTTCACCTTAAACGGACACAGATGTCCTTACTTGTGTATTTATTACTGTGTGCATTCATGTTTAAATGTTTTGTAGTATAGTTTAGCATGCATGTATTTCTTTATCTTTGATTTTAGTTTTTAGTTACCTATCCGAATACACCGAGAAGCGATGGCGAACTCTTAAACGGCCACAATGCTGAACGTGGATTGAGATAAAAACGTCTGTTTTTTACTGAATAAATTTTAGCTAATATCAACTCTGTGAGACAATAGAAATTTACGTGCACTTACACTCAGAGTGAGAAACCCTTGTCTTCAGTGTGAGGTACCTTGTCCTCAGTGTGAGGTACTTTGTCCTCAGTTTGAGGTACCTTGTCCTAAGTGTGAGGCACCTTGTCCTCACCGTGAGGAACCTACTCCTCACCGTGAGGAACCTTCTCCTCAGCGTGACGAGCCTTGTCCTCAGAGTGAAGAACCTTGTCCTCAGCGTGAGGTACCTAGTCCTCAGTGCGAGGTACTTTGCCCTCAGTTTGAGGTACCTTGTCCTAAGTGTGAGGCACCTTGTCCTCACCGTGAGGAACCTTCTCCTCAGCGTGAGGAACCTCGTCCTCAGTGTGAGGTACCTTGTCCTCAGTGTGAGGTACTTTGTCCTCAGTTGAGGAACATATTCCTCAGCGTGAGGAAATTTGTCCTCACCGTGGGGAACCTTGTCCTCAGCATGACGAGCCTTGTCCTCAGAGTGAGGAACCTTGACCTCAGCGTGAGGTACCTAGTACTCAGTGTGAGGTACTTTGTCCTCAGCTTGAGTTACTTTGTCATAAGTGTGAGGTACCTTGTCCTCACCGTGAGGAACCTTGTCCTCAGCGTGAGGAACCTTTTCCTCAGTGTGCGGTACCTTGTCCTCAGTGAGAGGTACCTTGTCCTCAGCGTGAGGAACCTTCTCCACGGTGTGACGTACCTTCTCCTCAGTGTGAGGCACCTTGTCCTCAGCGTGAGAAACTTTGTCCTCAGCGTGAAGAACCTTGTTCTCAGCGTGAGGAACCTTGTCGTCAGCGTGAGAAGCCTTGTCTTCACCGTGAGGAACCTTGTTCTCAGTGTGAGGTACCTTGTTTTCAGTGTGAGGTACTTTGTCCTTAGTTTGAGGAACCTTTTCCTCAGCGTGAGGAACTTTGTCCTCAGCGTGAGGAACCTTGTCCTCAGCGTGACGAGTCTTCTCCTCAGAGTGAGGAATCTTGTCCTCAGTGTGAGGTACATAGTCCTAAGTGTGAGGTACCTTGTCCTAAGTGTGAGGTACCTTGTCCTCACCTTGAGGAACCTTGTCCTCAGTGTGAGGTACCTTGTCCTCAGTGAGAGGTACCTTGTCCTCAGCGTGAGGAACCTT